AAAAAAAAAAAAAAAGAACATAAAGGAGTGTACTACAAAAATGCTATTGTGATAAAAATTTTCATTATGAACGTTTGAATGTTGATGCAAACTGAAGAGGGAAAAAAAGCCAGTAACTGTATTTCTAAGTAACAATTCTCATATGCTTTTCTATTTGACTTCTTTTAATTCTACTTTTTATAAATATTTCAAAAGTTCCAGTCTGCTATAGTACCTGTGCCTAGTGGAGTCCCAAAGCCCTGAAGCAGAGCATAAAAAGGTTAATGTAATGACATTATCTAAAACAGAAGCCACTTTATAATTTTATTGAGTAAAATTTACATAGAATTAAAAGCACTCAAGTGTACAGTGAGTTCTGATAAGTACACTTGCATATATTCCCCATCCCCCATAAACAACCTGTTCTCATATTTGTCACCACAGATTCATTCTGCCTATTTCTGAATCTCATATAAATAGCGTGGCTTCTTTAACTCAACATTAAGTCTCTGACATTCATTCATGTTGTTGGGTATACTGGTTCGTTCATTTTTTCTTTTTCTTTCTTTCTTTCCTTTCTCTTTTTTTTTTTTTCTGGCTAAACTCCTTTGTATAAATGTGCCAGCTGGTTTTTCTATCCACCTGTGGATGAGCACTTACGTTTTTTCTAGTTTATGGCTATTATGAATTTAGCTGCTATAAACATTTTGAATAAGTCTTAGGGGACAAATGTTCTCATTCCATTGGATAAAGAGTTCCAGTTGTTCCACATCCTCAAACAATATTTGCCATCATTCTTCTTAATTTAAGCCATTCTTGTGGGCATGAAATAGTCTTTGTAATTTTAATTTGCATTTCCCTGATAACCAAGGAGACTGATCATCTTTTCATGTGCTCACTGGGCCATTCATATATCTTTCTTGGTGAAGTATCCACTCAAGTCCTTTGTCTATTTTTTTACTGGGTTGTTAGTTTTTATCACTGATTTGTAGTTCTTTAGATATTCTGGATACAAGTCCTTGATCATACACATGTACTGTGAAAATTTCAGCACATACTTCCTAAAACAATATTTTCCTACATAATAGTGTTAATGCACTCTGGAAACTTACCATTCATACAATATTTAATCTAACATGACAAAATATATGTTATATATATAACAACTTCTCATTGAGAAAAATCTCAAATCTATAAAAAAGGTGAAAGAATAGTACAGTAAGTATCTATGTACCCTTCACCTAGATTCGCCAAATATGAACACTTTGCCACACTTGCCTTTTCTTCTTCAAACGTGCATATGCACACATTATATGTGTGGCTATGGGAACATGCCATTGGGATCTACTTCAAAGAATTTAATTAACTCATAGCCCCAACTGCTGCTCATCTTGTCTACCACCATGGTCTCTCAAGGCCCAGCTAATAGCTGAGTACAGCAGAAATACTAATGTAGGTTATTCCTCTAAGACCTGTGGGACTTCTCCAACAGGTGACTTTGGCTTGAGGACTACCCATCACCTTCGCCAAACCCCTTTTGGAACTATGCTGTAGTCTGAGACCCTTCCTATCCAATCCTCCTTCTTTTACCCTCTCCTTTATAGACAGACGTCAGACCTGCTTTGTGGTCTAACTGTTCTCTGCCACTGCTCTCTTTTCTTCTCTATTCTTCACAGGCATTTCTCCCAATAAATCTCCTATACATGTACCCCATCTTGGCATCTATTGGTCAAAGTACTCAAATTAACAACGTATGTGTATGTGTGGGTGGGAAGTAAAGCACTAGAGTAAGATGCACATATCATGACACTTCAATCCTAAATACTTCAGCCTGTATTTCCTAAAAACAAGAACATTCTCCTACATAATCATTTTCAATGATCACACTCAAAAAAATTTAAGGTGACACATATTTTTTTCTAGTAACATAGTCTATATGTAAATTTTTCTGGTTTTCCTAATGATGTCCTTTTTAACTTTTTGTTTTTAGATCCAGAATCCTGCCAAAGATATTACATTTAATTTTCTTGTATCTTCAGAATCGTTTAAACTAAAATAGTACCTCAACTTTTTACTTGACATCACTCATTTTCCTTACATTTACATTTTTTTCAATTTCTGAAAAGCCTTAGCCAGTTGTTTTGCAGAATGTCTTTCAATTTACATTCATCTGACTGTCTTCTTATGATCAGACTGGGGCCAAACATTCTGCCAGGAATAAAACACTGGTAATGTTGTGTCCTTCTTAGTGCATCAGATCAGGAAGCCCATACTGTAAATTTGTACCATTTGGAGTATGTTAATTTTGATCACTTTAGGCATCACTTTTAGTAAAATTTTAAGATTAGAAGAACTGAAGATGATTCTTTATTCAACACTGAGCCAATCTTGAGATTATAAGACAAATGGGGATACCACCTAAAGAGTGCATAACTAACCCCAGTGTAAATTATTATAATTCTGTTTTTAAGATTTATTCAAGAATTTAATATATATTAACTGTTGGGAGATAATTCTTCATGGGTCTTTCAGCTTTCTACGTATTTTTTTTTAGGAGAGGCAGTGACTGCCTTTGTTCTGGACTATGTTTTCAAAGATGTTGATATAGGGCACCTGGGTGGCTCAGTCGTTAAGCATCTGCCTTCGGCTCAGGTCATGGTCCCAGAGTCCTGGGATCGAGTCCCACATCGGGCTCCCTGCTCAGCGGGGAGTCTGCTGCTCCCTCTGCCTTCGCCCTGCTCGTGCTCTCGCTCTCTGTCAAATAAATAAATAAAATCTTAAAAAAAAAAAAGATGTTGAGGGCGCCTGGGTGGCTCAGTTGGTTAAGCGACTGCCTTCGGCTCAGGTCATGATCCTGGAGTCCCGGGATTGAGTCCCATGTCGGGCTCCCTGCTCAGCAGGGAGTCTGCCTCTCTCTCTGACCCTCCCCCCTCTCATGCTCTATCTCATTCTCTCTCTCAAATAAATAAATAAAATCTTAAAAAAAAAAAAGATGTTGAGGGCGCCTGGGTGGCTCAGTTGGTTAAGCGACTGCCTTCGGCTCAGGTCATGATCCTGGAGTCCCGGGATCGAGTCCCATGTCGGGCTCCCTGCTCAGCAGGGAGTCTGCCTCTCTCTCTGACCCTCCCCCCTCTCATGCTCTATCTCATTCTCTCTCTCAAATAAATAAATAAAATCTTAAAAAAAAAAAAGATGTTGAGGGCGCCTGGGTGGCTCAGTTGGTTAAGCGACTGCCTTCGGCTCAGGTCATGATCCTGGAGTCCCTGGATCAAGTCCCGCATCGGGCTCCCTGCTTGGCAGGGAGTCTGCTTCTCCCTCTGACCCTCCTCCCTCTCATGCTCTCTGTCTCTCATTCTCTCTCTCTCAAATAAATAAATAAAATCTTAAAAAAAAAAAAAAAACTTGGTTCTGTTAAAAAAAAAAAAATGCGTTTTTTAAGCACAGGGTTCCCCTGCATGTGCAGCTGTCACATGCCTCCCTTTAGATTATCCTGTGGGAACTGGGTCTTGAGGAAATAACACAAGATAACACTATCACTCTGGCTACTGCTATTTCTGTGACTAATAAAGTTCTTTGTCTATGACTCAAGAGTCTTGTGTCTTCTGCCAGCATGCCATAAAACTGTGGCAGACTAACTAGTTAGCTTGAAAGTAAGGTAGAAGAATCTCAAGCCCTTCATAGTTCTCAACACCAACTTTCGTATTTCCTACAGAAATGCAAACTACTTTCCTTTTACTATGAAATATCTGATATCACATAGAGATCACACTGCAATATTAAATTCCAATTTCCTTTCATCGTAATTTGAATTATATGAACTTATATAGGGTTACAGTTAACTAAATCTAATACATTCTACTTTAAAAAAAAAATCATGCTGTTGTAGCTTGTTTACTTTGGCAGTATTTTTACCTCTACACCAGCAGAGGCATCAAACACAGCTACTGCACCATCCAATACTCTAAGGCAGCGCTCAACCTCCAAGGTAAAGTCCACATGACCTAAGAAAAAGATGAGAAACATAATACTTACTCTTTAAAAAAACAAAACAAAATAGGATCCAGCATATACCTACTTTTGGGTATATATTCAAAAGAACTGAAAGAAGAGTCACAAAGACCTATTTGCAGACCACGTACATAGCAACACTCTTCACAATAGCCAAAAGGTGGAAACAACCCAAATGGCCATCAATGGATGAATGGTATAAAGTTTTGCATATATACAAAACATGTTATATATGTACAATGGAATATTATGCAGCCTTAAAAATGAAGGAAATCTTGTCACATATTACAACACAGATGAAGCCTGAAGGACTGTATGCTAAGCAAAATAAACCAGTCACAAAAGGACAAATACTGTAGGATTCTACTTATACAAAGTATCTAAGGTAGTTAAAAAAGGTAAAAAACGGTAGTTACCAGGGGTAGGAGGAGGGGACAAAGATGAGTAGTTGTATAATAAATACACAGTTTCAGTTCTGAAAGATGAAGTACTTCTGGAGAATTTCACAACAACGTAAATATACTTAACTACTGACTGTACACTTAAAAATGGTTAGGATGGTAAATTTTATGATGCATATATATTTTTTATATATTTTTTTTACCACAATTTAAAAGAAAATACATCCACAAACAAAAAAACCCTCCAATGATGCAGCATCTCTGCATTGCTAGAACAACACCATACCTGGTGTATCAATTAGATTGACTCTATACCCCTTCCAATCAAAGGTAACAGCAGCAGACTGAATAGTAATGCCTCTTTCTCGCTCTTGAGCCATGAAATCTGTCACCGTGTCTCCATCATCAACATCTAGCAAAGAAAAAGATGACACAGGCTTGATACCAAGTACATTTCATTGCGATATGATATCTACTTGACAGTTTATTTTTTTAGAGAGAGACAGAAAGAGAGTGTGTGGGCACGCGCACGCGAGTGGGGGTGGGGGAAAAGGCAGGGGGAGAGAGAGAATCCCAAGCAGGCTCCACACTGAGCGGAGCTTGATCCCAGGACCCTGAGATCATGACCTGAGCAGAAATCAAGAGTGGGATGCTTAACCAACTGAGCCACCCAGGGGACCCTCTACTTGACAGTTTAATTTGCTTTCAGACTGTTTGTAAAATATCTTGTTTAATATTTAGAGCCCTTAATCTTTCTCTAAATAAGCCCTTGTTCTAGAAAAAGCTTTTCCAGCAAAATTAGTAATTTTTCCATAAAAATATTTTTTCTGTAACAACTAACATAAAAATCTGTTTAAATATTTTAATTTTATTGAACTCGATATTCCTTTCATTTTTTTCCCCCTAGTTTAGCTTTCATTATCCCTTCTTTAACTTATGTTCCTCATGCCTGATCCCTGGACAGGAGGCAGGGCACTGCAATGAAAGAGCCCAGACAGACCTAGATTTAAATCCCACCTTTACCATTACTACTCTATTACCTTAAGCAAGTTACTTAACCTAGTTTGTAAGATTAATAAATGCAACCTTGTGGGGTTGTTATAAGAATGAAATGAGGGGCGCCTGGGTGGCTCAGTTGGTTAAGCGACTGCCTTCGGCTCAGGTCATGATCCTGGAGTCCCGGGATCGAGTCCCGCATCGGGC